TTCAGGAAAATGGACTACAAGGAGATTCAAGAACCTTGAACTAACACTAGGAGAGAAGATCAGGGAAGATATGATCATGACATATAAAATAATCAGGGTTTACATAAGATTTGGCAGGGGCAAACTTCTGAGATGGAAGGAGGGAGAGAGAGGGGGAACAGATGGCAGCCACAGTAAACAGATGAACCATAAGAATATCAAATACTTTTTCAGTCCCAGGGTGTTAAATGAAATACATTAGTAAGCATGAACTGGCCCTGAAGACCAGAAATTCATAAAGCTGGTCGATAAGAGTTAAATGGCTCTGGTTAGAGCTGGGAAATACAATTAGATTAGTACAATTAGACATGTACACTTATGTTTACCTGGAGTTTACCTGGAGAGAGTTTCGGGGGTCAACGCCCCCGCGGCCCGGTCTGTGACCAGGCCTCCTGGTGGATCAGCCCCTGATCAACCAGGCTGTTGCTGCTGGCTGCACGCAAACCAACGTACGAGCCACAGCCCGGCTGATCAGGAACTGACTTTAGGTACTTGTCCAGTGCCAGCTTGAAGACTGCCAGGGGTCTGTTGGTAATCCCCCTTATGTGTGCTGGGAGGTAGTTGAACAGTCTCGGGCCCCTGACACTTATTGTATGGTCTCTTAACGTGCTAGTGACACCCCTGCTTTTCATTGGGGGGATGGTGCATCATCTGCCAAGTCTTTTGCTTTCGTAGTGAGTGATTTTCGTGTGCAAGTTCGGTACTAGTCCCTCTAGGATTTTCCAGGTGTATATAATCATGTATCTCTCCCTCCTGCATTCCAGGGAATACAGGTTTAGAAACCTCAAGCGCTCCCAGTAATTGAGGTGTTTTATCTCCGTTATGCGCGCCGAGTTTGCATTCTAGGTGGCAATTTCACCTGCCTTGAAAGGTGCTGTTAGAGTGCAGCAATATTCCAGCCTAGATAGAACAAGTGACCTGAAGAGTGTCATCATGGGCTTGGCCTCCCTAGTTTTGAAGGTTCTCATTATCCATCCTGTCATTTTTCTAGCAGATGCGATTGATACAATGTTATGGTCCTTGAAGGTGAGATCCTCTGACATAATCACTCCCAGGTCTTTGACGTTGGTGTTTTCGCTCTATTTTGTGGCCAGAATTTGTTTTTGTACTCTGATGAAGATTTAATTTCCTCATGTTTACCATATCTGAGTAATTGAAATTTCTCATCGTTGAACTTCATATTGTTTTCCGCAGCCCACTGAAAGATTTGGTTGATGTCCGCCTGGAGCCTTGCAGTGTCTGCAATGGAAGACACTGTCATGCAGATTCGGGTGTCATCTGCAAACGAAGACACGGTGCTGTGGCTGACATCCTTGTCTATGTCGGATATGAGGATGAGGAACAAGATGGGAGCTAGTACTGTGCCTTGTGGAACAGAGCTTTTCACCGTAGCTGCCTCGGACTTTACTCTGTTGACGACTACTCTCTGTGTTCTGTTAGTGAGGAAATTATAGATCCATCGACCGACTTTTCCTGTTATTCCTTTAGCACGCATTTTGTGCGCTATTACGCCATGGTCACACTTGTCGAAGGCTTTTGCAAAGTCTGTATATATTACATCTGCATTCTTTTTGTCTTCTAGTGCATTTAGGACCTTGTCGTAGTGATCCAATAGTTGAGACAGACAGGAGCGACCTGTTCTAACCCATGTTGCCCTGGGTTGTGTAACTGATGGGTTTCTAGATGGGTGGTGATCTTGCTTCTTAGGACCCTTTCAAAGATTTTTATGATATGGGATGTTAGTGCTATTGGTCTGTAGTTCTTTGCTGTTGCTTTACTGCCCCCTTTGTGGAGTGGGGCTATGTCTGTTGTTTTTAGTAACTGATGGACGACCCCATGTCCATGCTCCCTCTCCATAGGATGGAAAAGGCTTGTGATAGGGGCTTCTTGCAGTTCTTGATGAACACAGAGTTCCATGAGTCTGGCCCTGGGGCAGAGTGCATGGTCATGTCATTTATCGCCTGTTCGAAGTCATTTGGCGTCAGGATAACATCGGATAGGCTTGTGTTAATCAAATTTTGTGGCTCTCTCATAAAAAATTCATTTTGATCTTCGACTCTCAGTCTGGTTAGCGGCTTGCTAAAAACTGAGTCATATTGGGACTTGAGTAGCTCACTCATTTCCTTGCTGTCATCTGTGTAGGACCCCATCTTGTTTAAGTAGGGCCCAATACTGGACGTTGTTCTCGATTTTGATTGGCCCATAGGAGAAGAAATATTTTGGGGTTTCTTTCGATTTCATTTTGGCTTTTAGTTCTTCCCGCGTTTTCCTGACTCCTAAAGGATTCTTTTAGCTTAAGTTCGATGCTTGCTATTTCTCTGACCAGTGTCTCCCTACGCATTTCAGATATATTGACCTCTTTTAGCCGCTCTGTTTTTCTTTTTCCGTCGCCTGTAAAGGGAGCGCCTGTCTCTTTCTTTTTACATCTACTCCTCCTTTTTCTTAGAGGATAAGCCTTGTGCATACATCGAGTGCCAACCGAGTTAATCTGTTCTAGGCATAAGTTGGGGTCTGTGTTGCTTAGTGTATCTTCCCAGCTTATATTGGTTAGGACTTGGTTTACTTGGTCCCACTTTATGTTTTTGTTATTGAAGTTGAATTTGGTGAATGCTCCTCGTGACTAGCCCTCATTTTGTCGGTCCTGGCGCTACCACGCATACATGTCTGAACCTCAATTAGTTGTGATCTGAGTATTTTGTTTTTGATAGGGTGACATTTCTTATCAGATCATCATTGTTAGTGAAGATGAGGTCTAGTGTATTCCCAGTCTAGTGGGCTCTATTATTTGTGGTTTAAATTGAATTTTGTGCAGAGATTTAAAAGCTCATGTGAGTGTGAGTTTTCATCAGAGCTGCCTCCTGGTGTTATTACTGCAACAATATTATTTGCTATATTCCTCCATCTTAGGTGCCTTAAGTTGAAATCCCCAGGAGCAAGATGTTGGGTGCAGGAGCTGGAAGATTTTCCAGACAGTGGTCAATTTTTAACAGCTGTTCCTGGAATTGCTGGGATGTTGCATCCGGAGGCTTGTAGACTACCACAATGAATAGTTTTTTGGTTCTCGACCTTTACTGCTAAAACTTCCACTACATCATTTGAGGCATTAAGCAGTTCTTTTGCAAACAAGTGACTCTGCAATGTACAGGCCAACATCCCCCCTTTTTCCTGTTCACTCTGTCACATCTGTATAGGTTACAACCTGGGATCCATATTTCGTTGTCCAGTGATCCTTTATGTGGGTCTCAGTGAAAGCCGCGAACATTGCCTTTGCCTCTGCAAGCAGTCCCACGGATGAAAGGCATTTTGGGTTTTTTGTTGCTGGCTTTTGACCCTGTATATTTGCAAAGAAGAAAGTTATCGGACTGGTGGTATTGTTGGTACTGGGGGGGATTTTTTTTCCGGCATTAGTATCTGTACTGTTGGTTTGGAGTGGAGGCCATCGACTGTGGTTCCACTCCAGGAATGACTGGATTTGGTGTACATTTCCGGGCCCTTTCCTGCCAGTTTTTTTTCCTTCCTGGCACTAAAAAACCCCTCCCTCTTGAGTGGCTGTGGGTACCCAGGTTTTCCCAAAGGCCCGGGTGTTTTGTATCTTTTTGTCCCCTTTAGATGGTATGCCTGGCAATTTAAGTTATAGCACAGTCTTTCCTGTACTGAAGAGGTACACATTTCAGGGTAAAAAAACTTACAGGAAGGGAGTTTGCATTTCCTGTTGTCATATGGGCATGGCATTTTCTAGGGTGGTCATAGTTGCATGTCCCATCTGTTTTTCCAGATTTCCCATGCCAGCAGATACCAAGTGCATAGTATGTGCACAGGCTTGGTTTCCGCTTGCCTTGGGTTTCTGTGACTGTATTCCCTGTTGGTGCGTGTTTCCCTGTCTTACTTCTATCCTCCCTAGCACCAACAATGGAGCTCCCACCAGTTGTTTTTGGTAATTTATCCTCACTATTGCTATTGGAGTCCTCTTGTTTGCTATTTCCTGCGAGACTCTTTCTGGTACTGAAAGTGGAAGTCATGACATATGTGTACTATATTTCAGAATTAGATGCAGTGGAGACATCATGTTTAATGAGCAATGTGTGGGGTGAATATCACACAGAAAATTTGGCAAGTAAAAATTAAAAGATGAAGTGGAGTTATCAAGGGCATAATTCAGAGGGATGAGATGGGGTTGTTCAGATGGCCTGGGCATGTAGAGAGATAGGATGATGAAAAAAAAAAGATGTATATATCTGAGTGGAAGGTAGGAGGGGTAGGGGTCATGGTTGGAGAGAGGGTGTAAAAGATGCTTCAAGTTTTAGGGACCTGAGCATCCACACGACTTGTGTGAATGTGCTAAATAGAAGCAAGTGGAAAGAAGTGGTTTTAATGGATGTGCCATTAGAGTGTGAGAAAGGAAACTTTTACAAAGGGATTCAGGGACACTGATTAGCCAGACTTGAGTCCTGGAGGTGTTAAGGGCTGTGCCTGAACTCTGAAAGAGTAGGGATGTTGCAGTTAGAGGGTAATCTGAATCCTGATGTCAGCACACTTCTGGAGAGACAGCAACTGAATAAATTATGGTAAATGTGTTTTCTTCTTTAGGTTACCTTGTCTTGGTAGGAGGTCACTGAGACAAAAAGAAAATTAATGTTAAGTTTTAATTCTCAGGTAATTTGGATTTATCTGTCAGAAATAAATATACATCACTGAAAACTTAGAGGAAATACTTTCATATATGTACAGTAACTACTTTCCAAATATGTACTCAGCATTCAAGTGGGAGTTATTTATGAAGAGAAAGACAGTGTTACGTACAATATTTTACAAAGACAAAGCCCATTTAATTAACCGAGATTTATTAGTGTACAAAGTTTGCATTAAATTCTTAGTATCATATATAATAATAGTACATCAAATCCACTTGAATAGTATATGTGCACAAGATTAAAAAAATAAAAAATTTCCAAGAATCTTACTCAACATCCGGTGTTGCTGTGATGTTGGAATTCAGCCACACCACAAGAGCAGTGAGGATATCCACTTCTGACTTTACTGTGAGTCCATCTTGAGACAGGAGATCTTTCAAGCGCTCCTCACTCAAATTACGGAACTCTTCAGTTCGTACAATTTGCCTGAAATATTAGAAACAAAATTAATATTTTGGAATAGGTTAATAGCACAATTATGTGGAAACCTCAACAAGAATTTACTTGGAATTTTTTTAAACTGCATGAAACATGCAGAAAGATACACTGCTCTACACACAAGTAAAACACTACATATAAAAGAAAAGAAACATTAAAAAGAGTATTGTTTGTGGTATAAACGTTGTGAGAATGGAAGAGAGATTAAAGTGCTTATGACTGGGTATTTTTTATCTACCAGATATAATAATGAGGCACTGAATGTAAAGCAATCTTACATCTTTTAAACTTATCCAAAACAAAAACTAATCGATTAATATTCACTTAAAGTCTTTACTTAATCCACGTATGAAACTAACTGTAGATACTATTCTATCAACACTGCTTTACACATATCATATAGTATATCATATACAAAAATATTTCAAGAAAGGGATGCCAATGGAAGCAGTCTTGCAGTGAAGGGAGGGAACAAAGGGGTAACTAAAGGGAATAGATCAAAAATGTGTGATTACCTATTGTTATTATGTACGTATCTGTGGTTACAGGATTAGAATAGATCTGCTATCTCTATAGGGTATTAATGTATGAAGCTAGATGGTACAGTACTATTGGTATTGGGTGAGTTAAATATGCCCTTAAAAACACACACACAATATCCAAGATGAAGCCTATTTAAGGTACAGTACATTAAACTGCTCAAAGATGTTTACTTGAGCTAACACACTTTTCTAAGATATCACATGACAGGTTAGACTTATTACAATGGAAAGGAAATAGTCTACTGTCAATATTAATATGAAGTTCAATTCACACCAAATTCGATTCAATTCTAAAATAATTATATTTTGCACTTCGGGTATGGATACACTCAATGGGTGGGGGTCGAAAAAATTGAATTTTATTAAGATGCAAAGTGAAGAAACAGATGACCAGGTATAATGATATGTAATAAAAAAATATAGATATTATAGCCCTCAGATAGGGACTAACATCTCAGTGTTGCTGACTTCTTAGTCCTTCATACTGGTGGTGAAGGGTCCCAGGTTTTAGTGTGTTCCTGGCCACAGCTAAGCCTTGAACCAAGCCCAGGTCCTGTCTAGCCATGGCCTGGCTCTCAATCACTCTCCTATGCTGTTTCTCACAACAAGAATTCTCAAAAACATGTCTTCTATCATACAGCTAATTATCATAACACTTTCTTTCAGTACTGATACAAAATCATAACTAATCATGACTTTAAATACTGGTACCTTTTTATGAGTACCAGTATCTTTCTATAAGTACTGGAATCATTCTATTAGTACCAGTAACTTTAGTATTTTTCTATAAGTACTGGAATCATTCTATTAGTACCAGTAACTTTTTATCAATACCAGTATCTACCTGTCAGTACTGGAATCTGTCTGCTAGTATGAATATTTTTTCAACAGTACTGTTATCTTTCTACATGTAACACTAAATAGAATTTAAATAGGTCAGACATGAAATTAATGGCATGACACTGACAATAGTGAAGAAAAGACAACAAAAAACAACATTTCCACTATGTTAATATTGCAACATATTGTAACACTGTCCCAATAAAAGCTTGTTCTGCAAAGTGTCTTTTCTTGAAACAAAACCCCAAAGCATAATTTCAAATTAATGATAGGATTTATACAAACAGAAAATAAACTGTGCAAGACAACAAAATAATATAAAAAAAAACATACTGCTGTAAATGAAAAACAATATAAAAATATTGGAATTTAAATGGAAGAAGAAGAATCCACCAAAGTTCACATGATCTTCAATGATTATTACAGTAAATTCTAATACAAAAACTTTTTCCAATGCTTAAATTGACTTCACCTTTATACGAAGTCTCAGATAAACATGAGTTTCCATGTTTAAATAGTGACATGAAACACATGATGACACTGATTTAGAAAAGCACACTCTGAGGTTAACTTTTTGTGCACCAATTTAGTGTCACGTCGAGGTGTGGCTGTCCCAGAATGGCAGTAGTTGGGGGAACTCCTGTCACTTCTTGACACACATTCCCTCCTTAACATTGGGTTCTTAACCTTATAGGGATCCTTACTAGCAGACAATCTGGTCTGTACCCTTCACCTGAAATCAGTGGTCAGACATCCAGAATCTTATCTGGGTTCCATAGACTTCTCAGGCTACAAACGTGAAAATGAAATTCAGGTAACCTATATCTCCCTATGTGACATCCCTCTGTGACCACCATCACACTCCTCCAGTCTCAGAACACTGAAGCAGGAATTTGATTCCAAGATTTCTGCACCCACACACAGATATACCAAGCAAAATTGGAGTTGCTCGAGTCATATGCTATATGTTTCACTGGCTGTGCATTTTTAGGTACTGGCTAGCCTGTCCCAATACCATGGCAATAACAACTTCCAGGCAACAATCCAGCGAACACGCAGGCACAGTAGTGGGAGGATAGACTGTACACAAGGTGAAGTGGTATGTGGGTAGCTGGGGTGAAGATGTGGGTTGTGGGGAGTGACAGTTAGGGTTGTAAGAATGGACATAAGAGTTAGGGGTTGAGGGTTGGAGGGGTGATGAAGAAAGAAGAGGTTCTGGATAATAAGTACCCAGAATCCTGATCAGTGAGGGCTGACATAAGGCAAGAAGTCCATAATGTGAGGCATAGCTGGGGCAGGCAAGATAGCCAACAAAAGAAGGAAGCCACATTGGGGTAGGCCATGCTGGGTACAGTCTGGGGCACCATTCACCATAGTGGCCTAAAAATAAAGATGTGCCACTACTGCAATGTAGTGCCCACCTGGACAGTGATAACGCCATAAAGGGATGTTGAGAAGACATCTCGAACACTGATATAGTGCTGATGGGCAATGATTAGCCATCTAGGAAGACATCTTCCTGGCACTTGGCAGCCTATAATATGTGACAGCAGAGAGGTGGGCTAGCTGTGGAAGGTAAGAAATTACTGTGAACTGCTAGCCAGTGACTAAGGTCATATGGCATCATCTCAGAAAGGCATCTAACCTCTCCCCCATTGACTTGTTGTCTCTGAAAAGCACAGTGCCTCTCAAGTAATGTGTTACCCTGCATTTTTTACACAAATAGATTCTTCCCACTCCCTGCTACATGTAGCTCAACATTCAAATATAATTCCTCTGGAAACATGAATATTAGGAGAAAGGCACATCGACATTAACATATAATCAAATTGAAATACTGTAGTTAATAATTTACCAAAAATGTGCAAAACAGAGAAGTAAAATAAACCATTTCAGTGCTAAGAGATTTTTCTGTGTGAGAGGAAAATGAGAATAGTGGTAAAGGAGAAATTTCCTTATGGCAAAATATCAGCAGCATGCTCCAATAAGATACAAAATAACAGATAAGGAAGATTTCCTAAAAGTATCAACAGGGGACACAAAAGCCCATAGTTATAAACAAGAGAAGAAAATGTACTGAGAAAATATTAGAAAGTTTATAAAAGGCTTGAAGCCAAAAATGACTAAAAAATTTAAAAAGATATATGATAGTTCAAATGCTAAAAATGGGATACCATGAGCTTAGTTCTACATCTACAGCTAGGTAGTTATAATGATCAGTAATTTCCTCAATATTGATCCTGATTTATATAAATAACTTGAAAGAATAAATAAAAAATAACATGTAAGAACATGTTTGTGGATGATACAAAAATCCTATAAAGAAAAAGAAATAAAAACAACTAAGAATCAATACAAAGCTTGGATAAATTGTGCAGACAGATGATGGTGCTATGTAAAGGACACATAAAAAGTAACAAGTAATAGGAATATAGACTGTGACATACTGAAAGTATGAAACAGAGATGGGAGTTCTAGGAGCAATTATAAACAATTATAAACAGAGCGGTATTAATAACCTAAAAGAAACTTGTGGATAATAAAGAAAAATTTCAAGAATATACTGTAAGAGGGCTTCGACGAAAAATAGTAACATTCAAAATACCATCATTGGTTGACAGAACGATAAAAAAAGATAAGCCATAAACTGTAAAAGGTCAAAAACAAAGTCATACGTTAATGCAGATAATAATTTCTTAGCACCAAGAACATGGAGAACAAGTTGCTTCTAGAAAGTTTGTTTTTGCAAATAATAAGAATAGTGGAATATGCCTATTACCACTGGGAAAAAAATAATAAAAATATTGCATAGTACATTAATTATTGCCCATGTAGGTTCAATATGAACACAACATTAGCACCATTTCTGCTGAAAATGCTTATTCGCTAAAATAATTGTTTCATGTGTCTTGTTTCCTTGTCATTATTTTCACTAGAACAAATCATCTTGCATTTATATTTTAAGTAAAAAATGTATAATATTCACTTTGGCTAAGCAAACCAAGCAAAAATAACAGGAGATGGTATTTGTGGAAGAGAAAAAACAAGAATTTTTGAACATTAAAAGTCTTAAAACTAGTGTCTACAAGTAAATTATGATACATTATGAAGAACTTTTGATTATTCAGACTGCTTTGCATTGAGAGTGTGCTGATAAATGCAGAATTTGTTACAAAACTCCAAATGAAAAACTAGCAAAGATAAAAGTTTGCACTATAAGAAGTGAATATACATACTATATATGTATATAGTGACCATGGTTTAAAAGAGCTTCTTCTAAACAGCAGAAAAATATGCAATATGTAAAGGAAAAGATAAAACGAGTAACAAACCTATGCTTAAAATGTTGACAGATGAAGTCTTGGGCAAAATGAACAAGACGTGGACAGGAGAACTGTTGAGCAAACTGTAGTATTCCCAAACAGTTGTCCACATCAATTCTGGCCATCAAGAACTTAATGCACAGTTCCTTCAGAAGAAATGTATGTGAATAAATGCATATTTATTAAATGACAAAACATCAAAAAAGGCAGCCAACAGTAAATCTAAGATCTATCAACTTACATATACTGTATATTACTATCACTACATTAGAATTTCAAATGCAAGATCATAAGTGCTACCTGAAGATTATACAGCAAAAAAAAAAGGACACAATTTGTGGCTGAACAATGTCCAGAAAGGATAGATACAGTCCATTAAATCCAGATGCTTTCCTTACTGTTATGGTCAGCTATGTAAGTGTCCAAAAACAACAGATACTCCATTAAATCCAAAATTGTCCATTACTGTTACAATCATGGAAAAACTATCTCATCATTTGAATTTAATGGACAACTGGATTTAAATGATACCCACTAACTCTTATTAGTTTGTTAAATTGATATTTCTAGAAACTACACTGGTTAAGATTTAAATCCTGTAAGTTTACTTAACCCTTTGACTGTTTCAGGCCCCTCTCTGAAACTGTCATTCTATGTCGCTCAATTTTTGAAAAAAAAAAATTATTTTTTCTTATGAAATGATAGAGAATCTTTTCCCGATGGTAATGACACCAAAAGTTCGAAATTTGGTCGAAAACTCATGGAATTATGCTCCCGCGAAGTTAGCGGTCTCGGCGACATTTGCGTATCGGCGATTTCGCCGACTTTGAGCCCTATTTTCAGCCAATTTCATTGTTCCAGTTGACCAAACTCATAGCTATTTCTTTAGAACTCCATTTTATCTATCAGCTGAGTACAAGAAACCTCCCATTTACTAATCTGGACTACCCAATATGGTGGTCAGAAATTGGCAATTTGGCCAATTTCACGCAAACTAAAAAAGATGCCAACTTCAAAATAGGGTCCAGAATAAACAAGGTAGACATTTGTGGCACTAAAATAACATATGCTCTGTTCATTAGTCATATCTCTAGGCCCCTCTTATATTATTATTGCTTTCTATTTTGATTTTTTATTCATACAAAAAAATACAAAATTTACTGTTATGCAGACTACTGCATTATTGTAAAAATGGTATAAATAATATCAGTGCACTAGTGAAAGAATATTAGACTCCCCAGTTGACGTGTATTGGACGTGTGGTGTGATTTATTTACTCCTGAACATTGGTAAAAATCGAACATTTCCGCTACTTTGAGCTCAGTTTCAAGGTCGTTTTCATTGTCAAAGTAATAAAAATCATCTCTATTTCTGTAATATGTTTTCCATTTTATCACCTAAGACCATGAAAACGCGAATACAACGATAAATACTATACGAAAATACACCTCAAAGTCGGCGTTTTATTCCAAAAAAACGATCAGAGTTTTTTTTTTCTCATTGCGCAATGTGTGCTGCAGGATTTTTTTTATGTGGTGCACACTGACCACACAGACCCATTCTCTCACATGTGGGCCTACCAGCTTTCTCCCGCTTGATTTGAAGCCGCTAGAATTATTGAGTATATATACGTCAGAAACATTGGCTCGTAAGACGTATTTATACGTCGAAAACAGTCAAAGGGTTAATATATAAACTGTGTACTACTAATAAATTATAATCATGGAGATAAAATATTTAATATTTAAATACAATTTTGTTATGAAGGAGCTTCTAAGCAATATGGGCTTTTCAAATGGGTTTTAAAAATAGGATATGTAAACTAAGAACAATTGTAAAGTTATACATACTCTTGCATTACTAATGCAAAAATTAATTAACATGGTTTTCTTTCCATCCTATAAGTTGATTTTATTTTTTATGCTCTATGCAGGTCAAAATGCTGTATAAATCTTTTGCTACCATGCAGGGCAATTTCTGAAGTTAAAGTAATTTTTTATTTTAACACACTGGCCAGGTATATTCTAGGTCTCCCACCAAGGTAGGACCCAAAAAGAAACACTTTCACCACCATTCACTCTATCACTGTCTTGCCAGAGGTGCACAGAAAGGAAATATGTGCATTTATTGCACATCTAGAATAATATTAGAGAAAGAAAGCAGTGTCAAGCATGCAGTAAAACATACCACAAGGCAGACAACCCATACTGTGCAATGTGGTACAGTTATTTCTTTATAACACAACTTACTGTAGGTTATCATTCTGCCATTTAATACAACCTTAAAATCACTGCAGTGATCATTCAGGGAAATCTTCTGAAGATTATGAAAGAATTCACTGAAGGAGTGGAATCAAAATGGCAAATGAAAAATAAAACTGGGTATGACTGTCAATCACTGTAATTTCTACATGGTTCACTGAGTTAGACCCAAAAATATATTGTAATAACTGTATTCAGAATGGCTTCAAGAGTGTATCAGTCTGTAGTGGAAGGAAGGCAGGGTAGGGGTCGGCCTAGGAAGGGTTGGAGGGAGGGGGTAAAGGAGGTTTTGTGTGCGAGGGGCTTGGACTTCCAGCAGGCATGCGTGAGCGTGTTTGATAGGAGTGAATGGAGACAAATGGTTTTTAATACTTGACGTGCTGTTGGAGTGTGAGCAAAGTAACATTTATGAAGGGATTCAGGGAAACCGGCAGGCCGGACTTGAGTCCTGGAGATGGGAAGTACAGTGCCTGCACTCTGAAGGAGGGGTGTTAATGTTGCAGTTTAAAAACTGTAGTGTAAAGCACCCTTCTGGCAAGACAGTGATGGAGTGAATGATGGTGAAGGTTTTTCTTTTTCGGGCCACCCTGCCTTGGTGGGAATCGGCCAGTGTGATAATAAAAAATAAAAAAAAAATAGTTTATCTTATCATACACCTACTGACAAGCAGTACAGAATTCTATAGTATTTTTAACCAACCAGTAATTACTGTATCGCATTATATTAAAACACCATTTTTTTAAATATGTCTAATTCTGAATACTACACGTGAGAAGATTCACAAATACTGTACCAGCAAGTATTCTATTCTCAGCCCTGTTACCATTAATTATTTATACATTATTTTTTGTAATATTTTCTGAAGAAGAAATTTAAGTTTATATCTTTATCATAATTTTATTTCTTACTATTTCTTACTATTTCTTACTATTTTAGGTAGTAGGTTGGTAGACAGCAACCACCCAGGGAGGTACTACCGTCCTGCCAAGTGAGTGTAAAACGAAAGCCTGTAATTGTTTTACATGATGGTAGGATTGCTGGTGTCTTTTGTCTGTCTCATAAATATGCAAGATTACAGGTACGTCTTGCTACTTCTACTTACACTTAGGTCACACTACACATACATGTACAAGTTTATTTATACACACTCATCTGAGTTTTCTTTGATTTTATCTTAATAGTTCTTGGTCTTATTACTTTTCCTTTTATATCCATGGGGAAGTGGAATAAGAATCTTTCCTCCGTAAGCCATGCGTGTTGTAAAAGTCAACTAAAATGCCGGAAACAATGGGCTAGTAACCCCTTTTCCTGTAAAGATTACTAAAAAGAATAAGAAGAAGAAAATTGTCAAAGTGGGAAGTCTGAATGTGCATGGATGTTGTGCAAATGATAAGAAAGAGATGATTGTGGATGTTATGAATGAGAAGAAACTGGATGTCCTGGCTTTAAGTGAAACAAAGCTGAAGGGGGTGGGAGAGTTTCAATGGAGAGGAATAAATGGGATTAGGTCAGGGGTTTCAAATAGAGTTAGAGCTAAAGAAGGAGTAGCAATAATGTTGAAGGATAAGCTATGGCAGGAAAAGAGGGACTACAAATGTATAAATTCAAGGATTATGTGGAGTAAAATAAAGATTGGATGTGAAAAGTGGGTTATAGTAAGCGTGTATGGACCTGGAGAAGAGAGAAGTGTAGAGGAGAGAGAGAGATTCTGGGAAATGTTGAGTGAATGCGTGGGAGTTTTGAATCAAGTGTGAGAGTAATGGTGGTTGGGGATTTCAATGCTAAAGTGGGTAAAAATGTTATGGAGGGAGTAGTAGGTAAATTTGGGGTGCCAGGGGTAAATATAAATGGGAAGCCTTTAACCCTTTGAGGGTTTTCGTCGTACTAGTACGTCTTACGCGTAGGGGTTTTTGACGTACTAGTACTCATAAATTGTAGCGGCCTCAAATCTAGTGGGAGAAAGCTGGTAGGCCTTAATATGAAAGAATGGGTCTATGTGGTCAGTGTGCACAGTCTAAAAAAAATCCTGCAGCACACAGTGCATAATGAGAAAAAAAAAACTGACCATTTTTTTTTAATAAATCAGCGACTTTGCAGTGTATTTTCGTATGGTATATATTGTTGTATTCTAGTTTTCTTGGTCTCATTTTATAGAATGGAAGACATATTACAGAAATTGAGATGATTTTGACTGGTTTTACAAAGAAAGGTGCCTTGAAATTGAGCTCAAAGTAGCAGAAATGTTCGATTTTTACCAAACTTCAAAAGTAAACAAATCGTGCCAAGCGTGCAATACACGTCAACTGGTGAGTCTAATATTCTTTCACAAGTGCACCAATAATATTTATACCATTTTTTACACTAATACAGTAGTCTGCATAACAGTAAATCTTATATTTTTTGTGAGAATAAAAATTCAAAGTGGAAAGCAAAAGAATATAAGAGGGGCCTTGAGACGTGACTAATGACTAGAGGAAATGTCATTTTAGTGCCAGGAATGTCTTTCTTGTTTATTCTGGACCCTATTCGGAAATTGGCATCTTTTGAAATTTGTGTGAAATTGGCAAAATTGCTAAATTCTGACCACTGTACTGGATAGTTGAATTTCATAAATGAGTGGTTTCTTGCACCCATTCGATAGAAAAAATGGAGTTCTAGTGAAATATTCATGTTTTTTGTCGACTAGTACAGTGAAATTGGCCGAAAATGGGGCTCAAAGTGGGCAAAATCGCCGATGCGTAAACATCGCCGAGACCGCTAACTTTGCGAGAGCATAATTCCGTAAGTTTTCTATCAAATTTCAAACTTTTGGTGTCTTTATGATCGGGAAAAGATTCTCTATCTTTTCATAAGAGAAAATAATTTTTTTTTTTTTAAATTTGGCC